CCAGATAAAACAAGGTGGAGGGAACTTCCACCCAAGATGGAGGCCTAGGTGGACACACTGCCTCCTCGCGCAACCAAGATAGGGATGATAACAATTTAGAAGCAGAATAACAACCAGAACTGACAGAAAATTGATCTGAATGGAAGTTGGACAACGAAAAAGTTAAAATAGACGCGTTCATCCACATCGGTAGGAGGGGTGGAGTTGGGCAGCCAGGCGTGGATCGCGGCATGGAGAGCAGAGAGCATTGGGACCGGCGCATAAGGCATCCGAGGCTCGCAAGACCACAGGGGGTGGACCCTGAGTGCACAGGCGGCAGCTAGCAGACCCCGACTGAGGGGTGGCAAATGGCAGACCCAGTGAGGCAGCGATTGTGAAGCAAGGCACTGCACGCAACCCAGGATCACAGCACTGGGAAATAGAGCCTCAGGACACTGATTGAGGACACCTGTGGGAGTTGAGGCACATGGAGAGACACCCAGCCTCACAGGAGAGGTCCTTGGAGGGTCCCACGGAGTGCATAAGCCCACCCACATGGGAATTGGTACCAGAGGGGACCAGTTTGCTTGGGAGAAGCAGCAGAAGGGACTGAGGTCTCACAGAGAATGGAGCAAGCACCATCGTTCCCTCTCGACCCCGCCCCCACATACAGCATCAAAACCCAGCAACTGGGGTGCCCAGCTCTGGTAAACACCTAAGGCTCTGCCCCTCACCATAACAGGCACAACCAGACCAAAACACAGAGAGAGAGAGAGAGAGAGAGAGAGAGAGAGAGAGAGAGAGAGAGAGAGAGAGAGAGAGAGAGAGAGAGAGAGAGAAGAGAGAAGAGAGAGAGAGAGAGAGAGAGAGGTGGCTCAAACAGAAGACCAAATAAAAGCCCAGAGCCCATCCTTTTAAGCGACCGAGAGACAGCCAACCTATCAGATGCACAGTTCAAAACACTGGTGATCAGGAAGCTCACAGAATTGGTTGATTTTGGTAGCAAATTAGAGGAAAAAATGAAGGCTACAATAAGTGAAATGAAGAAAAACACACAGGGAACCAATAGTGATGGAAAGAAAGCTGGGTCTCACATCAATGGAGTGGACCAGAAGGAAGAAAGACACAACCACACAGAAAAGAATGAACAAATAAGACTTCAAAAAAATGAGGAGAGGCTTAGGAACCTCCAGGACATCTTTAAATGTTCCAACACCTGAATTATAGGAGTACCAGAAGAAGAGGAAGAGCAACAAGTGGAAAAGTTATGTGAACAAATAATAAAGGAGAACGTCCCCATTCTGGCAAAGGAAATGGACTCCAAGGAAGTCCAGGAAGCTCAGAGAGTCCTAAAGAAGTTGGACACAAGGAGAAACACACCAAGGCACATCATAATTACATTAGCCAAGATGAAAGAGGAGAGAATCTTAAAAGCAGCAAGAGATAAGGAGACAATAACCTACAAAGGAGTTCCCATCAGACTGTCAGCTGATTTCTCAAAAGAGACCTTACAGGCAAGAAGGAGCTGGCAAGAAGTATTCCAAGTCATGAAAGGCAAGGACCTACATCCAAGATTACTCTATCCAGCAAAACTTTCATTTAGAATGGAAGGGCAGATAAAGTGCTTCTCAGATAAGGTCAAGTTAAAGGAGTTCATCATCACCAAGCCCTTATTTTATGAAGTGTTAAAGGGACTTACAACTAAGAAAAGAAGATAAAGAAAAAACATGTATAGTAAAAGGACAGCAAACTCACAATTATTAACAATCACACCTAAAGCAAAACCAAAAGAAACTAAGCAAACAACTAGAACAGGAACAGAACCACAGAAATGGAGATCACATGGAGGGTTAGCAACAGGGGAGTGGGAGGAGAGAGGGGGGAAAGGTACAGAGAATAAGTAGCATAGATTCCAGGTAGAAAATAGGAGGAGGGTAAGAATAGTATGAGAAATGTAGAAGCTAAAGAACTTATAAGTATGACACGTGGACATGAACTAAAGGGGGGGAAGTGGGTGGGAGAGGGTGTACAGGGTGGAGGGGAGTGAAGGGGGGAAATGGGACAACTGTAATAGCATAATCAATAAAATATATTAAAAAAATTCTCATGTCTGAAAATATGTGAAAGCACTTTGTAGCACTGCTCAAGTTTGTTTATACATATTTCATCTTCCTTACAAACTAACCTATTCTCAAAACTCAGGAAAAAAAATAGGTTGAGCCCAAAGTTATTATAGGCTGGTAAAATGCTAATGTAAATTGTATTTTTCAATGAGCATTCATGTTGTTTCACTAGATGCTGTGATTACATTGTTTGCTCCTTGCTCACTCCACTCAGTTATATTCACTTTTCTGCTGTACTTTAAATGTGCCAAGCTCATTCTTCTCTCTGTGCCTTTGCACTATTTACTCAGCAAGGTATACACTTTTCCCAGGTAGCTGCATGGTTATTACTTTCACTTCTTTCAGGTCTCTGCTCAAATTGCACCTCAAGATGCTTTCTATAAGTACTTTATCTGAAACAGCACCTGCTCGTCTCCTCACTGCCATCACTTTCTACTTCCTTAGTTTGCCTGACTTTTTCTTTATGACAATCATAACAATCACACATTTGCTTATCCTTTGCCTCCCATGAAAACGTAAGCTCCCTGAAGAGTGATTCATAGCTGTATACACAATACCTAGAACAATGCCTAGCACATAGATGATATAGCCTTTTGCTAGGAACTTGCCTAAATGGCATTTGGTAAATAAATGTTTGTCACTGAAATCACCTGTCATCACATGGAATTAAGGACTTGCGAAACACAGTAGTATTAGAAGACCTAGTCTTGCTATTAACAAGGTATTTGCCCTAGGAAAGTCACTTATTTCTGAGCATCAATTTTCTAACCTATAAATTAGGAAGAATATTATCCTCTACTTCCCCATTTTACAAATCACAGAGTTGTTGTGGAATAGGGTCTCATATAGCATTTTACTAGTAAGGTATGTTTCTTAGTGTTAATTCAAGAGCACAGACATTGTCTTACTCATCTATTACCAAATCTGACATGGGTCCTGGATCTATAAACAATTGCCAAAAGAATGGACAGCAGAGGTTGAAATTTTCCTTTGTGAAATGAATTGAGCTTCAAATATTCATACTCTTAAATAGTCACTATAAGTGTCATTCCATTTTATATAGCATACATATTGGGTTAGCCAAAAAATTCATTTGATTTTTTCCCTAAGATGGCTCTACTAGTAGTGTTTAGTTGTCATTTACCTCATTCAAAACAATTTTGTTAGACTGTATTGTGACAGCTGTCATATCAGCATGCATTTTTTTAAAAAATCAAAATTGGTGAATTTTTGTGTAGCCATTTTAATATTGAAGATGGAAGAAAATATGCAACATTTTTGGCATACTATGCCTTATTATTTCAAGAAAGGTGAAACTGCAACTGAAATGCAAAAAAGATTTGTGCAAGCATGGAGATGGTGCTGTGATTGATGGAACATGTCAAAAGTGGTTTGCGAAGTTTTGTGCTGAAAATTTCTTGCTGGATGATATTCCATGGTTGGGTAGACCAGTTGAAGTTCATAGTGATCAAACTGAGACATTGAGAACAATGTGGGAGATAGCCAACATACTCAAAATATCCAAATCAATAAAGTTATTAGTGAAAATGAAAAATGTGCCTTTTGTTTTATGGAAAAAAAAATCATAGGACTTTTCGGCCAACCCAAAATTGGCAAAGTGAACAGCTAGAAATATTCCTATTTAGTAAGGCATTTGTTCAGGATAATAAATATGAATGCTTGTTTTGACTAAATGAATGGTTCTCCTGGGTCAGCGCTGAACAAATGCTTCTGCTACTCTGATAATTTTGATCCAGGCAGAAGACACATGCTTTTATAAACGGAGCATCAATCCTTGAACAACCATTCAATACAAGGGAGAAAAGAAACACTGTATAATTTAGGGACATGAGCCAAGCCTCCCCTTATTAGTAAGCTAATGTATGACAGGAATACACAAATACAAAGCTGTTAAGCCAGAACCATACATTTTCTGTACATACATTGTTATGTATAACTACTATCTTTTCAACAAACTAGATCAAGATTAGAAGGAATAGTCCTGGCTGGTGTAGCTCAGTGGACTGAGTGCAGGCTGAGAACCAGAGGGTTACTGGTTTGATTCCCAGTCATGGCGCATGACTATGTTGCAGGCCAGGTCCCCAGTGGGGGCCATGTGAGAGGCAACCGCACATTGATGTTTCTCTCCCTCTTTCTCCTTTCCTTCCTCTCTAAAAATAAATAAAATCTTTTTAAAAAATATTAGAAGGAATAGTTTGTAGTAACAGGAAATTAAGTTATTTAGTATAAACCTAGGTTGTTGCCATTACGTTGGGGGGAAAGACTTAAATCTAGACTAAAAAAGGTGCTTCTTCTTTAAAGACTTGTAAACAGATGGTAAAACTAGGAAGATGATGGGGAATAGCTTGTTCTGTATCAGCATAAGCACTTTGGATATATTACCTCATTTAATCCTTACAAAAAATCTCCATTACACAGACAGAAAAACTAATTTATCTAGAGAAAAGAATCTTGCCCAAAGTCACACACTGGGATTTGAGTCTAAGCTATCTGAATCTGAACTCTCTTATGCCATGCCATTAGTCTAAGTCATGATATTTTATTTGTATGAATACACACTGCAGAGCAGGAGAAATTTAACAAAGATCACTTACCTTTTGGAAATTATGGCTAAGTATTTCCATAGTTTCATTTACAAACACCCAGGCTAACATACGGTTCAGCATATCAACTTATTAAACCAGGCTATGGAGAAAAAGGGCATTATGAAGTCAGCAGAAACAAAGAAATTACATAATTTTGTGAGAGGGTTTGGATACAAGAAGAGATTATTAAAGGGTCTGGAATTATTAAAAAGTTTAGGAACGACAGAAACTTTTGCTCAACTGCAAGAGAACATTCTCTTAAGCAAATACTTAAAAGATTATGAAGGACAAATTGATTGGCAAGACATTTATTAGGGTGTGTTGAGTTCTATTTATTTTGCAGCAATCTTGTCTGGGCACTTTAGAAAAATCCAAAACATAATACAGTGGAGTATAACATTTAGTCAGTGAAAATTCATATCAAATTCCAGCCCTGTCACTTATTAGTAGTCACTTAATCTTTGAGCCTCTTTGTTCTTCTGTAAAATGGGGAGTTAAGAGTGTGAAGACCAACTCTAAGGTGTTGCTGTAAAAGTTATAAGAAACCACATATGGCTGAATAGGTACCCCAAATCAGTTAATTATGAAATGCCAGAACTCACCATCAAGATGTAAAATCAGTTAATCAGTTGTTGGGCAGGTGGTGGGGATGAGGACAGATACCAGGAAACCAAACCAAATAATCTTTTATCTGGAGAACTTCTTAGAGAGGATTGCTACCCTATGTTTTCTTAGGAAGGAGACAGAAAGACTTGCACAAAAGAATTATTTGTTCACCTTTAAGGGAAGGTAAATCCCTTTCACTGTTTTAAAGACCAAGGAAAGATCCAAACTTCTTAATTATGTATTATCTACCTTGTTTCCTCTCAGGGAATCTTTGAGGTCCAAGAATATCTGTTAAGGTTAAACACAAAACTGGAGAAATTTGAAAATGGACAGGGTGTTAAGTTATATTAAATAATATTATAGATTTGTTAAGAAAATATTTCTACTCCTAGATGGGAGAATTTCACCTGGGACAGTGCCTAAATGCATACTAATGTATTTAGTGGTGAAATTCAATGAGGTCTGCAACTTCACAATTCAGAAAAATATATAAATAAATAAAATATGTACATAAAGGAAATACGACAAAAAATTAATTGTTGAACTTAGGTGGTAGGTATATAAGTAATGTTTAAAATTGTTCATAATTGCCCTGGCTGGTGTGGTTCAATGGATAGAGTGCTGACCTGTGGAGGTTGATAGTTCCATTCCCAGTCAGGGCACATGCCTAGGTTGCAGGCAATGTCTCCAGTAGGGCATAATGGAAAGGCAACCACATACTGATGTTTCTCTCCTTCTCTTTCTCCCTCCCTTTCCTTATCTAAAAATAAATAAAACCCCCAAAAAATTGTTCATAAAAAAGTATAGAAGGCAGGAGGTAGTTGCATTTAGGTACTGTCCCAGGTGCAATTTTCCATCTTTTCCTTTTTTCACTCATCATACAGATGGTTGAAATGTGGGTGGCAATGCAGAAAAAGCTGATGGGGAAATAACAATATATCCCATACTAAGCTAAAGTCAATTAAGTAAAAGACAAGTCCTACAAGACTTTTAAAACAATGTTATGTCACTTATAGTCATTCAGCCAGATGGTTAGGAGTCATTATTAACTAAAATCTATGATTTTAATAAAGAAATTTATTTGTGTGGGGTTAGGGAGTAGTACTGCCTTTCCAATGGACCTAATCCAAGGAATTTATCTAGGTATATTGAGGGATCACATCTGGAAGACATTAAGGCAACTATGGAATAAGTTACATAGTTACCTCTGCTTTGAACACAGACTATCTTGAGAATCAATCTCATATGATAATAATTAATGCTTATCTGTAAATGAATACACTTATCCTCAGGGGTGGTATAAAAACAAAAAGAATTATGTAGGAAAAAAACCAAAGTGCTATACAATTTTAGGTGTAATTGAAGACCAATAAAGAAACAAAAAAATTGCAAGTAAAAGACAAAAAAAAAGATTTTACAGAACCAGAAAACAAAAATTAAAAAACCCAAGAAACCAAATAAAATAATCTCGAGTTAATTTACTACATTTTTTGCACCATATAAGCTTTGCAGCATATAAACTTTGCACCTTTTAAGAAACACCTATAGTGCTTCGGTAGAGAATTTCTGGCAGGGAAGGAAGTGGAATTGAAGTTCCCTCCAAACACCCTAACAGAACTCCACTGGCTTCTTGACTTCCACTCACTCTTGACTTCTAAGAATGTCAAGAGAATGATCTAAAACATGAAACATGTTTCAAGTCTTATTTAGAATATTAAAAATTAAAAGCAATCCTAAAGATCTAACAGAAGTATGACGCACTTACAAGGTAAACTTCCTTGTAATTTCAATATAAGTATGAAGAGTAAAAGCCACAACAAAAAATGCTGAAGTTAAAAAAAAATTAATGAATATACTTATGACTATTTTAAAAAATATTCAAGAAGTCAAGAATACCAAAATGACAATTACATAGGGATGTAAGAACTCTATTTACCCACCCATATTCCTACCAAAAATTTTTTTAATTTCTATTAAAAAAAAATGAAAGAGAATGGCATGGCTGAAAGGCCACTAGTGAACAGTTATAAACTAAGAGCCTGAGAGATAATACTTAATGCAGGATAGAAGATTAGATATTACAAGGTCAGTGTCCTCAATTGTCTCTGCTATTTTCACAAAAACAGCAACCCATGTAAAGCCATTTATTCTTCCCTTTTTTCTAATGGCAGGTCCCAAGAACATGTCCATCAAAATGCTGCCAGTAATAGCATTCTTAATTATGACCATGTAGACACAGCTTGTTCTCAAAGGCTTTTTTAGGCCTGACCTGACATGAAATATACTACTTCTTTGGAGGATGTTTATTCATTTGTTTTACCATGGAAGAGCATGTTGTTAAATTATTCATCTTTTAAAATCACAATCATAAAATTAAACCCATATATTACTATTGCAGGTTAGTGTTAGGAAATCCCCAACCTAATGGGCTATGTTAAAAAAAATTTTTTTAGAGTGCTTGGTTTAAACTCAGAAAGCATTTTTTCTCAGAAATATTATAGTAATAAGGGAAATGGATCTACAGAGTCTCGTTTTCATAATCTCTCCCTGTATTTCCTGGTCTAAAAGACTAATGGATACTTAGGATGCTTCATATGCTTTCCAGGAGCCTCTCATGCAGGTCTCCATTTCTATCATGGGTATTTTCATAAGCGGGGTACTTTTAAGCTGGGAAATGCCATACTTACAATTTGAGTTTTTATCACCTAAAATATATTAATATTCATTTTTACAACAGATAACACTTGATTAACTTAAATTGTAGATGAAAGATATTTTTAAAAATCAGAATTAAAGAGGTATAACAGAACACTAAAATGTTCTGTTTGCAGACCTCAAACATCAAAAGCAAGATGCTATTTTAAAATATGTAATAACTCAAGTTTAAAAATGGATAAATTTAAATTTAATCCCTTTTGTATAAGACCAAAAATGGTAATCTAATACCACTGGGACTACGTGCTGAAAAACTAAGTATAAAACAAATACATAAAACATGATTACAATTTAATTGCTTTGAATTCTTTATCTTCTAAGCCTCCACTATTAATACAGAACTAATTTTCCTAACCTAAACACATACAGTAGCATTACTTAACACTTTATATATAAAAGCTGTGCTTTAGGAACATTTTGAGAGTTTCCACAGCTATCAGGAAAACTTGAGAAAGGGGGGTTTAAAGATAAGACTGCTTCAGACAGTAACATAGTATAACCAGAAGAAATACTCAGACCTTATGTCTCTAACTATATTTCTGTATTTTTCTACAAAAACATTTTAATATCCAATAGTTTCATCAACCCTTCCAAACATACCTCCATTTTCCTAAAGGGTGGACCTTAATACTGAGTCTCCTTTATACATAAGGCAGACATTCGTTTTAATTTGTGGAATCAGGGTATTATCCTCCAAACTGAACATTCACTAGAGTGCTTAGGATGTTCAAAATTTTCCAAAGCTCTCTCCTGGTCCATTCAGAACAATCATAATGTAGTAGAAATGGCAGAACTGGAGCAAATATTAGTCATATTTGAGTCTTTCTGTCAGGGGTTTCTCCTTGTAATGGGAAATAATTTGAATTAGGATGGAACAGTTGATAAGAAGGAAGAACAAACCAGCTAACCATATAAACAAAAAGGTGTTCTTTCCTTGAAACTCAAGAAGATATGCAGGAGCCAGCCATAAGGCCTGCCCTAAAAACCACAGCATTAGGAGAACTACAGCTCTTTTCCAAGGCATTCTCACTAGTGGCATCACAAGGGGCAGTAGACAGAGGTACCAAAGAAAGTACTGGGAGGTGTAGACTTTGTTAAAAGTCACAAAAATGGACGTATGAAGAAAACAACAAAAGACAAGATCTCTGTGATATACGAAAGACACTGCTGAAAGCAAGATGAACTGTGGTAGGAATGCAGCAATTCCCAGGGAAAAACTCCACTTGCTCTCTGCGGTCAAATACAGCATGTAGAAGTACGGAGAAAAGTTGTGGCGTATATCTCTCCTAGTCAGGTGATAAAGGTAGGTGTGCTCCAAAAATTCCCAACCATATTTATAATAAAAACCGAAACTCAGGGCAAAAAATGTGAGTCCAGCAACTACTACATAGAGCACCACATCCCGATCACACAACCTCTTCAGGAATTCGTGAAAACGAGCCTGGAAGGAATACCGGGATTGGCAGAGGCTTCTGTCGTCGCGTTCGGGAAGCAAGTGGAGGGCTATGGGAAGGATATATGTCACCGGATACATCTTCATATGCACTGCAAAACCATAGAATACAGCGGCACACGCGACAAGTCTTTTTTCTATTAGGTACAGGGCCATAAGCACCAGGGAGGCGACGATCGAGTCCGCATTGCCTCGGCTGGATACCACCATAGGCAAGGGATTAAGAAGCCAAAAGACACAGTAACCGCAGGCGTGGCGGCGGCCCAACCCCTTCAGCAGCAGCAGGCGGTATAAGAGGAAAGCCGTGAGGAGGTCACAGCTGATGAAGAGAAACTTTCCAAAGAGGTCGCCGAAGTAGATGTTGGGAATGAGGAGCCAAGCAAGCAGTGGCGTGTATCGGTAGGTCGCCCTCAGATAAGGCGAGCGTCCCTCCGTGACGAAACGCGCGGCGTCCGTGAAAACGTGGTAGTCGATGTCTGTGTACCTTACGCGCAAGGTCCGGTCCTGAAAGACCCCGTAGAAAACCAGGGCGACTCGGGCAAGGGAGGCCACACCAAACACCCCAGCGGGGAGTACCCGATGGCTCAGGAACCATTCTTCCCAGTGCTCGGTCGGACCCATGATTTGACTGGATGATACCGCTCAGTCCCAGCCCCGAACTGCCTTCGAATCCCTAACCTTCGATCCGGTTCCTCGCCTCCGATCGCCCGCCCACCTCCCACCAGCTAGGCGGCCAACCGAAACAACTGCTGCCTAGCACTTCCGGCATGAAGCCCGCCCCCCATGCTGTTTCCGGTGCGAGCCCCAGCGGTGTTCTCAGTCACCGCAGCAGAGAGTTAGCTTTCTCCTAATTGGCTGTCTGGCTGTCGGTCTTCCTCCGGCGGGGGCGGAATTTCTGGTCCTTGTAGAAGGCCACTTCCGCTTGCTGGGCTGTCTTATTATCGAGTGGAGCTGGGGTTTCTTGTGTGAAATTAGGCCGTTTCCTCGTCCTAATTTGAGTCTGCGGAGCCAGACCCCGAAACAGAGCGATCTGCGATCTATATTCCTCAGGCCTGGGCAGAGAACCGAGGCGAAAAAAATGGAGCGAAGGGAAACTAAACCTGTTTTAGTTTCTCGCGGCTTACTCCGCCACCTCGCGGTTTATCCCAGCGGTTTGTGGGCCCCGGGTCGAGCTAGGATGAGTTGAAGAGAGCCCAGAGCGTATACGTCCACCACAGTATTTGGACATGTTTATACGTATTATGAAATCATCAGTTTACTAAATTCGAATTTAGGCAATCCTATATGGAAGAATGGGAAGGACAGGGAAGCTTCGTAGTGCTCCTAAACTCTGCATGGCTCTGCAGGCCCTTTATGCAGCCACTGTATTTGCTATTTCTTCTGTCAAGGTTATCTTCCCCTCCCCAGTCACTACTTAACCGTTCAGGCCTCAACTCAAGTGTTAACTCCTAAAGGCATATGATGGCTTTCAGCTCATTTTTCACCAGGCAGTATGATTTAGATGCCAGACCTCTCCACTAACTGAGGGTAGAGAGGCTCTAAGCTCTAGAAAATCATTTGCACACAAAGACCCTGGCCTGCACCAGTACCTGCTGTCCTAATGCTCCAAAACTCCCTTTTGGAATGACATCTTTTTATTATAGTATTTGTCACATGGCTTTGTGATAACCGTTTTTTTGTGTGTGTTTCTCCTTCCTAGTTTCCCATCAGGACACTTTGAGTTCTTTGACTACAGAGATTATTTTGTCCTTTTCTGTACACCCATATCTGACACATTACCAGACCTATAGTAGAGATTCAATAACATTTGAATTGATTTTAGATGTTCCTATTAACCAAAATGTCTCCCGAGTGGCATCCTTGGGGTGCTCCCAACTCCGGGTCTTTTTTTCTTTCAAAAGAAAAAAAGCCTTTACCTATCTCAAGTTCTGCCCCCTTCACTACCCTACTTCAACCTTACTTCCATGAATTTCTCACCAAGGAGTTCAGCCCATTACCTGTTTCCCTTCTGCCGGCACTTACTGCACTTACAGCCTGCATTGTGGAATTTCCTAATTTACTTTAGATTGTATCTATAACCCTATCAATGAGATAGCAGGGGTTTTGAGGTTAGAGATTGTATCTTATCCTTAATTTTTTTCAATTACTCATATTTTTTGCAGCCTTAGGCACATGGTAAATGTTCAGTAAATACTGATTTACTTGATTTTACAGATCCTATTTCCTACGGGCAGTCTTCTAGACTACCATAAGGAGAGTAAAAGATATCCAGTCTGAGCATGCAGCTCCCAGGACTACCCTCCATGCATCCATCATACAACTTATAATTATCCTTTGGAGGAACATGTTACTCTTTTACATTTCATATTCATATTCTGATATCTCTGCCCTTTTATATGCATTGGTGTAATTCTATGCCTTATATTGATAATTACTTGTAACCATTTTCTGCATTTTAGTAGCCATACATACAAGGAGAGCACATAAAGAATAATAATGCCAATGACGATTTCTAATAGCCAGCTTTGTAGAATTATTTGCAATGTGCCAGGCATTGTGCTAAATGTGTACCATGAATGGAATATATTCTGATTTTTACAAATGAAAAAAATCAAGGCTTATGACACTACCTGGTGTGGCCCAGTGGATTGAGTGCCAGCCTGCAAACCAAAGGGTCTCCAGTTTGATTCCCAGTCAGGGCACATGCCTGGGTTGCAAGCCAGGTCCCCAATTGGGAGTGTACGAGAAGCAACCACACATTGATGTTTCTCTCTCCCTCCCCTCCCCTCTCTCTAAAAATAAAATCTTTTAAAAATCATTAAATAATTTTAAAAAATCAAGGCTTATGGATATTAAGTAATGTTTCTAAGTGACATAGTTAACTAGTGATAGAGTTAGAACTCAAAAGCAGGTCTGTCTGATCCAAAATATTCTTAACAACTATGCAGCTAACCCAAAATTAAATGTTGATGATGAGTTCTGATTTTCTCCTCTGCCTACTCTCATTGATCTCTTGGATGAATCTTTTTGATAGTCTCTCTGTGATTCTTCTCTGATTTATTCTTTTCCTCTGTCAGATAAGTGAGACTTAGTCCCAGAAATTAGAGCATATTGGCAAGTAGATGTCTGAGGATTAACTAAGTATGGGTTCCCCTAGCTGGGCTGGTTTAGGTGATATGACAGAGAGGTTTCAGCCCATTTGTCTCTATAGAGACCTAAAGAAGAATTGGGAGGCACCTAATTTGGGCACATAAGGAAACAACTAATCAAAAGAAACTAAGTTTGGATCACTGAAGTCAAAGGAGTGAGATATAAATAGTAGTTGTGGGAATGAAAAAGGGACTGGCAACCCATATGGAGCTTTTTACACTGGGCTTAGGGATTCTGCTTCTCACTTATCCCTGAAAGAGCTACATGTTTTCATATGCTCAATTGTTCATTACCCCTTGAATTATTACAGTTCTTCCTAATCCCCCCTTTCACTGTCTGCCTCTAGGTTTCCATCCATTTAGAGCCAATGGCTAGGCTATACAGACATGTATAGCTCATCCCTAGCATCCTTAGCCAGGAACTAGACCTTGGTCATTATGCTGTATATGCTCTCATTACCTTTCCAGATCCACTCTTTAGCTTTTTGCCATTTGTGCTCTATGTGGTTAATCTGTATGGACAGCATCACATAGGCTTCTTTGCTCTCTGGATTCCTATTAGAACACATCAGTGGGAGGCACAAGCGGTTCTTTGTTAGTGGCTGATTTCCTCTACCTAAGGCCATGGCTTCCACTGAAGCTATAACCTCCTCCCTCGACTACCACTCTCACTAGTCTCCAATAACAGTCCCTTTAAGTTTAAAACTGGTAAAGGTTTCCTACTGTTGTGAGTCCCAGGATGTTTCACTATTCCTTTGTTGGTTTATTAACCCCAGTCACACCTTTGTAAATAATCTCTTCATTAAACCATGTCCAGTTAACCCTTTGAGTGTGTCATCTGTTTCCTGCTGGAACCTTAATTCAATTACTTTCTTTTTTTGGTAGATCTTGCTTATATTTCCTACTCTGTAATTTTTTAATCTATTTGTAATTTTCATGCTCAGAATCCCTAGTCCAGACCTTCAACAACTCAATTTAATATGACTGAACACCTATACCAGGAGTCCCCAACCCCCAGGCCATGGACCAGTACCTATCCATAGCCTGTTGGGAACTGGGCTGCACAGCAGGAGGTGAGCAGTGGGCAACAAGCAAAGCTTCATGTGTATTTATAGCCACTCCCCATCATTCCCATTACCACCTAAGCTTGGCCTCTTGTCAGATCAGTGGTAGCATTCGATTCTCATAGGAGCTGGAACCCTACTATAAACTGCACATGTGGACCTAGGTTGCATGCTCCTTATGAGAATCTAATGCCTGGTGATCTGAGGTGAAATTGAGGCAGTGAGGCTAGTGCTGGGGAGTGGCTGCAAATACAGATTATCATTAGCAGAGAGGTTTGACTGCCCAGAGACCATAATAAATCAATTGCTTGCAGACTCATATCAAAACCCTATCAGTGAGTGGCAAGTGACAATTAAGCTGCATCTGGTGGCAGGCTATAAAGCCAACCTTCCCACTCCAGTCCATGGAAAAATTATCACTTTTGCCAAAAAGGTTGGGGGCCACTGACCTATGTTATTCTTGGATCTGTGACAATTACCTTCTCTACAAGCCTTTGCAAATCACTTAACTGGTTTAGTGTCTCCTGTCTCTGAATTCTACTGCTAGATTGATATTCATAATAAGTACTTTAATTAGACTCTGTCCTTCCTCAAACATCTTCAGTATTTACCAGCTGCCTATAAAAATTAATAAACTATTTAGCCTGACATTTAATCCCTCCATTACTCTACCTTTTTAACCTATTTACCTATGAGGCCCTTAATTCTAGATTTATTAACCATCCCTTAAATAAGCCTGTGCTTTCTTCCTACAATACTTTTGCTCATTCTGTACCACCTGCAAGGAATTGTATTTCTCTTCTCTCTAATCTCTTCCCAGACCTTAACAAGTGGAAATGATTTGTTCTATTTTTTAATACTTAATTATGCCATGCCTTATGAAATATATTGTATAAATCTTTTATGGCTATTTAACACATATACCAACTCTACAACAAACTAGCTGTGTGAACTTTAGGCAAGTTCCTTTCCTCTCCATTGTCTTCTTTTGCTGCATTTATTGAGTGTCATACATGCCAGGTGCTATGCTAAGTGCCGAGCTTGATCACCTTGGCCATTAGGTCCCTGGTGACCACACATTGACATGAATCCCAGTCACATGGAACTTAATGTCTGAGTGATATGATATTCATCAAATAAATTTACAAGTAATATAAAATTGTAGCTGTGGTAAGAACTATGAAAGAGAAATACAGCGTCAATCATAGCTTTTAACAGGGTCTGATCTAAGATGGGCATAGTAAAATTTAACAAGGTTAGAGGTTGGCAAGCAGTAGAAATTGTTCCACAGAAGCAGGTTCAAAACCTAATATGATTGTATGTCCCTTTATGGAGTATATCATGCCTTCCTTTTTGTTGTTACTTAAATGGTACCTTCCACCTAATAGGGACTCGATATTTGCTGATTTTTTTTTCTTGAATCTTATATCAAATGTGTTCTAACCAGAATCTTACACTGATACCATTCCTTGCCTAGTGCCTGTCCCTGTGAAATGTTTCCCACATCGATCTCAGTCTTTGGAACTTATTGTTAATGATATATCTGGCCCTTAGTGTGTGCTACTTGTTATTCCTCATAAGTTTGTAAGTTTCTTCAAACTTTAAGGGACTATATTTCATATATCTTATATATGATACATGTCATATGACTCATCACTAAACTAGTGTTTTCCAAATGTAGATAAGTATTTATTGATGATGATTAAGAGTCCCAATTTTTTCTCCATCATTCTTTGGTCCTCCCGTTTCTGAGGAACAAGAGTCAGTGACTATGGGATCTGTTGCACCTCCTCTCAGAGAGAATTTAGGGCTAAATACTGAACCAGACCTTTTTCAGGGTCATGATAGATAACAGTAAAAGAGAAATCCATTTCTTTGCAGCTTGGGGGAAGAAAAGCCCAGCAACTAGTAATTGAATAGGCTTATAGAGCCTTGAGTATATATAAGGAATGTCTACATAGTAACATGGAACAGAAATTGGGCATATGATCACTGGCAAAAAGCACAGTGCCCAGGATCCAAGACAACTTGACTTTCCTGGATTAAGCTGAGCCAATATCAGATTTCTGGGTCTTGACTTAAAAAAAAGAAAAGAAAAAAAAACTTGTTCTTTAAAAACTGAGTTTGAAAGGTGTCCAATAAAGGATCCTAAAGTTAATGAGGGGAGGTGTAGGAAAGGTATAGAGGGAATGGATAAAAGCATTGAATGGAAAAAGGGTGGTCACATGATAAGTTCTTCCAGTACAGCCTAATTCAACCTCCTTTCCAGGTAAACCTGTGAGTTCAGACCTTAATGATAGGATTGAGTTTGGATTTCTAAAAGAAGCTAAAGCGATGAACGGAGATTCATCCATTTTATTTAGTAGCTTTTCTGAACAGACAAAAATAAAGTAAACCAAAAAAAGTCTCACACATCTTTTTCCTAGGTAAATTTGACCTACTTGAATGCAATGGATGGGAAAACTATCCCTAGATACTTTTGCTTCAGTAGAGTTGGCCATTACTGAGCTTGAAGGCTTGTGCTAAATTTACAGCAAACATAGTGTTGTTTTACAAATAATTTAGGTTAAATAACAGGGGTAAAGGACCAGGGTAGCAGCCTTGAGGAAAGAGCAGTGGCTCTAGCTTGTAGCAATAGTAAAACTGGCTTCCTTTCTCTGCTAATGCCTTATAGGGAAATCTCTGGATGGTCTTATTAGCTGACAGAGGTTGAGGGAATAGTGATATGAAACACAGAGTAGGAATTTCAGAAGCTTCTCATGAAACTGCATGATCCTCTAGGGCAGCTGGTAGCCCCACTCATTTTCATACAGAAGCAACAACGTTAAAGCGCCATGCCCCCATGCCCAAAAGACATAAAATTATACCTTTTAACTTGCCAGGATTGGGACTCAGGACACCTCTAGCATAGACAGCATTCTCTTTGGGCTGCTTACAGCCACATAAAGGGCTGAGCCTCTGCCTTGGGAGTATCTTGGGCCCAATACTTCTTTCATTCTGGCCTTTGGGTTCTAGGGTCTAGGCTCCTCTTTAGTGCCTCTGCCCACCAAGTGTCCATCTTCTCAGTTGAATAGCCATTGCCTCCAGGAACTGGAGCTGCAGTTGCCCCCACCCTTGTGGAAGAAGAGGAAATTCCATGTACTCCAAGAGAAGGAAACAGAAGGATGCTTTTATTTAGTAGTTTTAAACAGTGCTACAGTGACAGGACACTTCTGGGGATGGGAGAACAACATAAGTAGGAATCCTCCTAGATTTCTATGGATGGAGTGTCTCCATTTTTCTCCTGTCTCCCTGGTCTTATCAGCAACACAGGCTTTATCAGAAACCTCAATGGATGAATCTTATTTCTGAATGAAAGCTTCCACCATTCTCTTTCCCATAGTCAGGTATCTCACTTTCATATTGAAACTATGATTACTGGTTGTTAAATTTGGAAATCTGGGGAGTCCTATCTCAAAACCAGAGCAAGATATCTGCCCCCATGCTAAGATCTCTGAACACTTCCTTTCTGTACATTCAGTATATCTGGTTTTATGTACATCTATATACATCTCTCTACATATATATATATAATTTCTGTTTTTCTAGATAAATCTTTCATATATATCATCCTAATTTCCCAAGCCTCCACTTACCTCTTGTTTTCTAGCTCACATAAAATTCAAGGATTTCATTGATTTTACTAAGTTCCTCAGTAGCACACTTTCTCATCTTTTGTACTGCTGTCTTCAGTTGTTCTGCCCATCCTCCAGAATCCCTCCCTTTCACATCTGTTCCTAGTGCTCTCCTAACATGCCAAGTCTATGGTTGATGTGGTCAGGGGCCTCATTTCTCACCAGATCTGGCTGCTTCTAAAGCCTATCTGATAGCCTGAAAGAGGATTTCAGCTCAGAGGAAACAGAGGCCATAGTCTAAAGAGCTGTTTAGGGTTGACAGTGTGGGGTGTCATTCTGGAGAGTGGAGGAAGGGGAAGTATGGGAGAATAAGCCAGGTTGTGTTAAAAAGTCAGTATGATTTAAAGTGAAATTTAGAGCAAAGTCTGAGATCATGTTGGAGAATCAAAGTCAGAAAATGCTCTCATTTTGTTATCCAAATATGTGAGAAGAATATGGGGGCTTAGAATAGACATCAGGGGGTGGGAAGAGAGTAATTCCCTTACAAGGGAAGTAGCTGTGTGCTGAAGAAACTAGATTGAGGATAACTTGCTAACAGATAAGGAGACACACACTGCAGTACTTTTTGCCCTTACACATTGAAAGAAATCAGGTACATCTAACAGTGAATAAAGTTGAGAGCCCAGAAGCTGATTCTTTGCCTTCTGTTCTGTTTCAGATTTTCAAGTTTTTCTGGTTCTTACTTTCTCAAGAGCAAGGAAGTAATGGTGGGGTTTACCATAAATAGAGAACAAAGGGTCTTCAAGACATAATTAGAGTTCAAGGAGAGATCAATATAAGACGATCTTGTGCAATTGTAGTAACTGATGACCATAAGTCCAGCCTCAAAATTTTGTGAGTTTCTCTGTAAGGGTCTGCACACTGGTGCATATACATATTCTGTAGAAGTATGTAGCTTGTAACGATTGGCTGAGTCCACCTGAAACTGCCACTTGATTCATATAGGGACTCTATACCAAACCACTTTGTGTTGGGGGTGGGAAGTCCCCTGGTACTTAAATGAGACCAGGAAGTACTCTTGGGATTTCAGGTATCTAAAAAAGTTCTGGTGCCCATATGCCCTTCCTGACCCCCTACCACAGTCCCCACCAGAGAACAAGGAATGGCCTGAGTCTGATCTCTTAAAGTATGCATTTTAACTTGCCTGAAACTGGCCTCATGGTAAAGGAAAGTAGAAATGAGACTGATACTCACTTTATACCAAGTCTCAGGAATGGCTGAGGGAGACTACGGTTATTTGATCAGGAGGTATAATTTCCTTCACTCCCAGCATTGCCTAATGAAATAGCTGGCACTCTTCAGAAGGACACTGGGAAGGGTAACAGGGAGAATAGTGTCTGCCAGCCACAGAGTTGTGCCTCTGCCCAAACCTTAACAAAGCATCCCCAATTCCCAGAGGCTCTATATACCAGTTTGGAAATCTGAGAATTTACTCATCCCACTTGGTCTGGTTGGTTTAACTTTCCTGGGAACTCTGTGCTCTGTGAGTCTAGTTTTAGTCAAACATCAGTGTTAAGAGAGGGAGGCCCTTGCATTCCCACCCCAGTCCCTCACCCCCACTTCCTCTGAAGTCTTGGGGTTAAGGAAATGGCGGGCTAGGCAGGAAAGAAGAGAAGCCAAGGGCAGTGTAATCTGGAACACTATTTCCAGACCTTTCCATGGGGTCTAGGCACTGAACTTTTTCCCAGGGGAACATATTGGTGAGGGACATTCCATTCATAGAACACAGGGAAAACAATCCTCCCAGATCAACCTGGAGGGCAGGTTCAGGGATTTGGACAGTAGCTCTGCAGTGGTCATTCCACAATGAAGAGTTCAGAATTCAGGGTGGGTACAGGTGTGATGGTTGTGACTAGGTTTTCTGTTTCCTGGGTCAACCCAATTCTCTGGGAGCAGAGGCGTCAATGAGAGAACTGAGTATACTGATGGTCCACTTTAGAAACTACAAAGTGGAAAATAGTGATGACCAAGATCCTACATTAAGTCAGGAGTTACCAACAAAAATTCACCATGAAAAACCACGACTTCTTTCAACAGGTTGGTAGAGACTTCAGTATAAATTGATTCCAGATTCCTATATTTCTGAGGACACAGACCCTAAGGGGACCCTCACAGAATATTGCCTTGGGGAACTTGCTAGGTAGAAAGTTAGAGAGGGAGGGGATTCCAGCCTCAAATCACCAAACTTTCTGGTGGTGAGGGGAGTCAATCCATCCAACTGCATGGTCTTCCTAATGTGAGCCTCCCACCATGGCTGAGGCCTCCAAGCCTTTCAGCCTAATCTTCCCTCTCTTTCCCCAATCCTGGCTTCAGGGTGGGGGTGTTGTATAATGTGGTGGAAGTGGGGCGAGGTGAAAGGGGAGGATGGGAGAAAAACTTGGACTCTAGTTGGTCTACACTTCCCACAGGCCTCTGGGTTAAAGGAGAGGGAGTGGGAATAGGTGCTTCTGGAACTCTCCAGTAGGCCTGGGTAATATCCCAGAGTGCCAATAAAGAAAGCAAGACCAGAGGGATAGGGAGGTGGGAAACCAAGCAATCAGACGTTGCTGATGCGTACACTAAGGGCAGTGCCCTCCTTCTCAGCTTGTTCCCTGAATGATTCCTCCAGCTTGAGCTTTTCGGGGTCTCCGTAGCGTACAGTGCTGTCATGTAGGCCACTAGGAGGGGCCACTTTCACAACTTGGTCAAAAAGGCTGAAGTCAGCTATGTATTTGCCACTGGCTGACAGTGAGATGGCAGGTGTGAACTCATAGCCCCAAAGGATCTCCTCTGGCAGGTAGGAAGTACGCACTTGGCAGGTGGCACTCGTGGATTCCACTGTCCCACTTAGGATCAGCACCAGCTCAAAGTCACCCTCACCACTGCGAAGGGGGAGGTCTTTTAATGGACTGGTCTCATCTACCACATGGTAGAAGGTAAGGGGCAGAATGAGGAAGGGGCTGTCAGAGGCTGTGTCTACTTGGAAAGTCACATTGACCTGGTTGAGCCGGATGTTCTCACCCTCTTTGGTCTGATGGGTCTGAAGCAGTTTGCCTGTCACCTGGCAGCCAATGAGGAGGCTCTTACGCATATTGGCAACTCGAATCATAAGGCAGGGCTTCCCATTGTGGGCAGCTACGACTGCATGCTGGCTGAAACGGATAGTCTCAGCCCGCTTCTTGGGACGAGCAATCTTCGCCAGGAAGGTACCTGTAATGAAGATTTCCAGGATGGTGGTGAGCACCAACTGAGCAATCAGAAGGACGATGGCCAGTGGACACTCTTCACTGATATAACGGAAGCCATAGCCAATGGTGGTCTGGGATTCAAGGGAGAAGAGAAAGGCCCCAGTGAGTGTGTGGACCTGTACCACACAGGGGGTATGATTAGCTGGGGGGCCCAGCTCCAGCAAGTCCCCATGGGCCACAGCTACCAGATACCACACCACTCCAAAGAGGAACCAGGTGCCTGCAAAAGTTGCAGAGAAGAGCAGAAGCTTGTAGCGCCACTGCATGTCGATGAAGGTTGTCCACAGGTCCTTGAGGTAGAGGAAGCGCTTGTCAGCAATGTGCTCCATTCTCACATTGCTGCGACCATCTTTTGTCAGAACTCTCCGCCGTCGTATCCCTGGGCCCATTAGGGGCCGACTTTCTGTCTGAGTGGTCTGACTGTAATATACCTTGGCAACTGATGTCATCTGGAGGGAGCAAGACAGCATAATGGAGGTTATTGCAAAATCCAGCCAATTCCTTGTCACCACCCCATGGGAAGGAAGAAATAACATTCGTTTTGATACCAGTGATTTGTTCTTTTATTAGCAAATATTTTTGAGCACTTGCTGTATTCCAGGCACTGTGCAAGATATTGGTAAGTCAAAGATAAAAATGACATCATCCTTGCTCTCCAAGAACTCATAGCCTAGTGAGAAAGACATGTGTACAGTAAGCAAATAATTGCAATACAATCTAATATTTGTAATTCTTAGAAGAGGCATAGAGGAAAGAGTAATAAGTTCACAGTTCCTTAAAGGTGGGGCTAGAGTAAAGAGGGGCTCTACTGGTCTCCATTCATCACAAAACCAATTCTGTGAAGATCTCTAGTTCTGAAATCCCTCACCACCCTCATGAATGACATCAGCAATAAAAAACCACCTGGTTGAGATCCTTGCAGGCCAATTCCCCTTACAACACACATACCCTTAATTTCTTATTCTCTCACCTACCCCTAAGTCAATACTCAATTTTGATACTAAGAATTTCATCTGGCTCAGAAAGTAGCAACAACTGCCCATTCTTCTACCCTTAAAGATGTTCTCTAAGCACCCAGCCCATTTCACTATGTATTAGTGTTAGTATCATCACCACAACCATCATCTATTTGTATCATTTGGGAAACTTTGATGTAGGTTAGGGTTTGGAGTAGTATTAGGAAGAACACAGACAGGACAAAAAGAAGTTTGTTTAAGAAATAAACAATGGTGGAGGAGAAGAAACAATCAGTTTTTTCAAGGATTGGGAGAAATGCCAGATTGGAGGTGGCAAAATTGTCTTGACTGAGGGAAGTAGGAAGATTAAGAGTATATGATCATGGCTATAGCTGTACAAGCTTAAATTCAGGATTACTATTTGTCCTGATAGTAGAAAGTGGGACAAGACTCTGAAATAGGAGACAGCTCACTTAATTCAAGGTGTCTGGCACCCCTGCCCAAAGAGTAACTTGTACTTTTCCAGCAGAAAAAGAACTGTAATCACTTGAGCCCTTTGAATCTGGATCTGATGGCCAGATCTTCTGGGAAGGAGCAGGGTAATCTCTGTGGAGTTTGGTCTTTCTTGGAGAACAGAGTCTCATCACATTCTTCTTTCTGAGAAGTCTGAGCCATTGCATTTTGTCATTCCTTCACACTGCCCCTACCCTTCTCCATGGCCTTATACCTTGAGAACTCTAAATTATTAGGGTTTATTCATATACCAACCTAAGTAGGCACTAAATTAAACATCACCAATGGATGAAAATCCCAGAATGTTCAGAGGCGATCAGTAGCCCATTTTACAAGCCCATGCCCACTTGGAACTTTTGCCCAAGTGAGACTACTCAGCCAGACCTGGATGCCATCCACTTCCCAATATCCTTAGCTAACTGCAGCAAAAGGGAAGCTCTGTAATTCTGAAGTTTGAAGAATTTTTATTTAGAGCCCTAGTAAAGCCTTATTCAGTATTCAATAGTAGTAGTAATATTAAGAAACAACCATCCTACTGCCTGCATCTATATACTATTTTAAAGTTTACACATTAGTATGCCTTCTCATTTGATTCTCAAACTCTTGGAAAGATGTGAAACCTCTATAAGAGATTTTGAAGAACTCTTATAGAACAAAGGAAGTACTGGAAAGTTGTGGATGAATAAACATAACTTAAATTTTCAATAAGAAGAATGAGGTACATTTCACAAACTACAAACACGAGATATTAATCCTAGACAAGGTTTTAGAATGGAACATTAAGATTGTGAGTACTTGGGTGGGATGTAGAAAAGGCAGTTATTGGTAGGACCCACCATGGGTAACTAAGAAAAATTCACATTAAACTAACCTAATTTCCTTCCATGACAGGGTTACCATATTAGCAAATCAGAGAAATGCAGTGGATAAAGCATATCTAAGCAAGGTTTTTAACAAGATCTCTCATTATGTCCTTGGGGATACAACAGAGAAAAATGAACAGAATGCTACTATAACTCAGTGATTTAAAAATAAAATATCAGTGGTATTGGTGAGTGGATCATGATAGCCTGGAATCAGTTTTCTAGTGATGTACCAGAAAGCTTTATCTTTGGAATTGTCCTACTCAATGTTCTTAATACTAATTTTATGCAAAATATAGAACACATGGTCATGAATTATGTGGATGACACAAAGCTGAGGCAGATCTCAAATGCAAAGTCAGGGGCAGAATTAGGATCCAAAGGAGACAGATGAGTGGGCCACATCTAACAAAACGGATGAATGTTGGGTTACATAATTGTGTCCAAAAATTACCTGAGCAAGTTCTGGGTTGGAAAGCAGCGGCATGAAAATAAATTTTGGCAGAAAATAATCATGTATGAATTGCCTTTGCTTGCCAAAAAAAGCAATGCAATCTCAGCCTACTTCAGTTGAATTAAAGTATCTAGAATAAGGAAGTAGATGATTCTGCTCTGCTCTGTTTATCCCATACCTGCAGTACTGAGTATCAAGGAAAAATCAGGTCATCAGAGGATTCAGAACCATATAATAAAAGAAATGGTTGAAGAGTCCTGTCCAGTGGCACAGTTGGTTGGAATATCATCTCATACACCAAAAATCTATGGGTTTGATTCCCAGTCAGGGCACATACCTAGGTTATAGGTTCGATCCCTGGTCAGGGTGCATATGAGAGGCAACCAATTGATGTTTCTCTCACATCAATGTTTCTCTTCACTCTCCCTATCTCTTCCTTCCTCTCTCTCTAAAATCAATAAAACATTCTTGGATGAGGATAAAAAAAGGGAAAGAAAGAAATCGTTGAAGGACATGGAAGTTAAATCAGGAAACGAAATTATCTGAGGGATATGATGGCTGTGGGAAAATATTTTGTTTTAAGAACTGTCAAGTGAACAGGTTTGGACTTTTCAAGCTACGGAGGAAAAGATTCTAGATTGATATCCAAATGTGGAAAAAGCTTCTGAAATGGTAGTGAGTGCCCTGTTCCTGGAAGTGTTCAAAGATTCTCTAGAGGAGATTAAAGCTTTTGATGGAAGATTGAAAGACTGCCTTTAAGCTTCTGCTCATGGAGAATCAGGATGCCTCTGTCCTCCTCTCCATCTCTACCCCCAGCACTTCCTATGGTGACATTCAGGGAAGTCCAGCTTTGTTTTGTGCTGAACAGAGATTCCACATATCTGGAAGAATGGAAGCTCCTCGGACTCAAGGAAAATCTTGCTTATCATTCCCAATATAATAGTCTCTGATTATAGATCACTTTAAAGTTTTAATATATGTAATTTTACCCCACACCATGAGGTAAGTAGGAAAGGCATCATTAGAAACTAAGGCTCAGAAAGATTTGCTCCAAGATTAATGGTGGAGTTGGTGTTCTGGCTTCTGGACCAGAACTTTGTAATTGTAGCAACTGATTCTGTGTTTCCCAGGTTCATTCTCATGGGTCTCATGTTTTCAGGAGGTGCCTCTGTGGAACCCTGTATGGAGAGTCACAGCTGAGACAGAGAAGACAGAACCTGGAGCTTGTAGAGCCCAGTGTTAAGGCTATGGACTTGTGGGCACTGGATATTTGGGCTACTGGTTAAAACTCTGTTGTGATTGCTGCCTCCAGCTGTGTGCCTGCTGTTGCCAGCTTTTAGATCTGCCTCCTCCATCTGTTATCCGCTGCTCCTAGCTGTTATTCCACTACCCACAGCCAAGTAGCTTGATTCTCACTGGCGATGAGAGCCAGAAGCAGTACTTCTGGCCAAGACGGAGGCTTAGGTAGATACACTGTGCTTCCTTGCACAACCAAAAGAAGGACAATAACAAATTTAAAAACAAAAAAAACAACCAGAATGGACAGAAAATTGAACTGTATGAAAGTCTGACAACCAAGGAGTTAAAGAAAAAACATTCATCCAGACTGGTAGGAAGGGTGGAGACGGGGAGCCAGGGTGGAGAGGACTCGAAGCAAGGTGGCCGCTGGAGGACCAGGGTGGGTGGTGGCTGGCAGAGCACATACACATTTGTGTGCAGATCAACTGGGAGGAACAACTAGGGAGCAAGACAGACTGCACAACCCAGGGCTCCAGTGTGGGGAAATAAAGCCTGAAACCTCTGACTGAAAAAACCTGTGGCTGTTATGGCAGCAGGAAAAATTCCCAGCCTCATAGGAGAGTTCTTTGGAGAGACCAGCAGGTCCATAGAATGTACACAAGCCCACCTACCTGGGAATCAGCACCAGAAGAGTCCAATTTGCTTGTGGGTAGCAGAAGTGACTGAAAGCTGGCCAAGAGCCAAGCAAGTGGCATTGTTCCCTCTTGAACCCCTCCTCCACATACAGTGCCACAAGGCAGCCATGTGGGTTGCCCTGCCCTAGCAAATACATAAGGCTCTGCACCTTACTACATAATAGGTGTGATAAGATAAAAAAAAATGGCCCAAATGAAAGAACAGTTCAAAGATCCATAAAAAACACAGCTAAGTGATGAAGAGATAGCCAACATATCAGATGCAGAGTTCAAAACATTGGTAATCAGGAAGCTCACAGAATTGGCTGAGTATGGTCGCAAAACAGAGGAAAAACTGAAGGCTACACTAATGAAATAAAGGGAAATGCACAGGGAACCAACAGTGATGGGAAGGAAATCAGGACTCAAATCAAAGATTTGAAGCAGAAGGAAGAAATAAACATTCAACCAGAACAGAATGAAGAAACAAGAATTTGCTAAAATGAGGAGAGGCTTAGGAACCTCCAGGACAACTTTAAACGTTCCAACATCTAAATCATAGGGGTGCCAGAAGGAGAAGAGGAAGAGCAGGAAATGGAAAAGTTATTTGAACAAATAATGAAGGATAACTTCCCTAATATGGTAAAGGAAATAGACTTCCAGGAAGTCCAGGAAGCTCAGAGAGTCCCACAGAAGTTGAACCCAAGGAAGCACTCACCAAGGCACAGCATAATTACATTACCCAATATT